TGGAAATCTATGGCAGGCAAATCGTGATACTGGGAGTATACGGGCCCTACCGATAACAATCTGTTAGCAGAAAAGGATCAGTTCATGGATACCTTACAAGAAGGATCGGAAAAGTGAGACCAACGCAAGAAATAATAATAGCAGGGAACCTAAATGGAAGAACAGGGAAATGACAAAATGGTAGCACGATAGGCCGTTTTGGAGAAGATGTAACAAACAATATTGGAGAAAGACTAATTGACCTGTGCGAACTGAACATTCTTAAAATTACTGACGGCTTTTTCAGACATAAGGACAGACATAAATACACGTATGTACAAACAACGAGAAACATCAGATTTATTATCGATTACATAATTGTCAGCAAAAGTAGTACTATCAAAATTAGAGATACACGAGTAAAGAGAGGAGCCGAATGTGGCACTGACCCCTGATTAATAATTTCACAAATGGGGTTTCCCTACACGTTGAACACCCAAACTAGAAGAAAGAAAGAACACGAAGAAAACCAAGTAGAAAATGAACAGAAACAAAAAGAAATGAAGTTCAACATAAATTTACTTCAAAAAGAAACCATACGGGACCTATACCAGAAAAGACTGGACCAGAAGTTACAGGATTTCGGTTTCAGAAACGTCAAAGAAACGTACGAGCACATCATAAAAAAGCGGCATTAGAAGCTTTGGGGAAACTTGAGAAAAGAAATACCCAACACAAAGTTAAAATAAACAAAGAAACCAAAAATGTATTGAGGAGAAGAAAATTCTATGTATGAAAAATATGTGCACCTAATCCCCAGAAGACCTACAGAAGTACAAAGAGAAAACAGAGAAGTTAAACGAAGAAAGCCAAAAGAAACGAATGAAGAATTGGAAGAAACATGTGCACAAATCGAACAATACATAGGAAGAACAAGGAATTCGGAATCCTCGAAAATACTGAAATCTTTAAGGAAAACTAACAACGAAAAGATCCAATGCAATACATATCATAAAAAGAGTGGGAAGACTACTATAAAGAACTACTCACAGAAAACCGCCCAGATTTCATGGGGACAGACACAGAATATGAACAACAACAAAATCAGAATGAAGAACAGATTGAGATAACATTATTCGAAGTAAAGAATGCCATAAAGACTTCAAAGAACAAAAAATCAGGGGGACCAGGAGGAATTGTTAATAAACTAATTAAGTACGGAACGGACAAACTACACATAATTATACATGAAATGTTCAGTAACGCTATAAATCTGAACGAAATACCAGATGAATGGTCCAAAGCATATATAACCTCGATACATAAAAAGGAGATAAGAAAAAATGCGAGAACTACATAGGCGTCAGTGTGATAGCATCTATGGGCAGATTATATGGAAAAATACTGAAAAAAAAAACTGGAAAAATATATCTCAAATAAAATCGGAGAAGATCAGGCGGGGTTCACAGCAGGAAGATCTTGCATAGACCACATATATACACTCAAACAATTAATTGAAAAAAAATGGCAAAAAATAGACCAGTACACATGGCATTCATAGATTTAAAAAAGGCATATGACACGGTTCCCAGAAAACAACTATGGAACACGATGAAGGAAATCGGAATAACTCAGAGGTTAATAGAAGCCGTAAAAAACCTTTACAACAACAAGAAGGTAAGAGTTAAAACCGGCAAGAAATATTCCAACGAATTTAAGACCACAAAAGGACTATTATTGCAGGAATGCTCTACATCTCCGACACTGTTCAAGATATTCCTCGAACAAATATTAAAACCATGGAAAAGGAAATGTGAAAGGATGGGAATACCAATCCGGGACAACTTCTTGTATACATTAAGCTTTGCAGATGACCAAGTGGTAACGGCTCAAGATGAAGAAGATCTGTGCCATATGCTCCGAAAATTAGAAAAGGAATACACAAAAAATGGACTAAAAATAAAACTAGAAAATACCGAATATTTAACAACAGAGCAAGAACCAGTAAGAAATTTGGAAATGGACGATGATAGGAAAATTAACGGCACCGAAAAATTCAAATATTTAGGATTCATACTCTCAAAAAATGGAACCACAGAGCAAGAGATAACCACAGATTAGCACAGACAAGAACATGTATTAAGCAAATGAACGGGGTACTGTGGTATAGAAAGATTACCAGAAATACAAAAAAGAGAATTTATAACACCTTGGTACACAGTATAATGACCTATGGAGCAGAGAATTGGGTAATAAATAAACGAATTAGGTCCAAAATCACAGCAACTGAAATGGAGTTCATGAGAAGAAGCTGCAGAGTCACAAAAATAGATCGCATCAGAAATGAGGAGATAAAATGAAGAATGGCAGTAGAACAAAACATACTCAGCTACATCGAAGAAAAACGTTTAATTTGGTATGGACATTTGAGAAGAACAGATCATACAAGGTGGATAGCAAAGATTTCGGATTGGAGCTAAATAGGAAAAGAGGTAGACCCCGAAGATCATGGAGGGATGAAGTGGACGAGGCCATGAAAAGACGAGACCTTAGATATGGAAAATGGCAGAACAGAAAGGACTGGAGACGTTGGCTGAAAGAAGGAAGGCGGCGACAGCTGTAAAAATCCTTATATAGATGGATAGATATTCTACAAAAAATGGGGGTGGGAGGTTTAGAGAACTTCTCTAAACATCAGTACATAGTACTTTTTATAGGTGAACTTTTACTTATATCTAAGTTAGACCAAATCGTCTTATTTTCATCCCTAACAATTGTGGTATAATTTATGGCCAATATTTTTTGGCACCCTGTATGCAGTCTATGTTGGTTCGGTTGTGTCATTTACATTCACTATTTCTGCGATTTGGAATATTCTACGACGTTTTCTAATACCTAATCGCCACTACTCTCGATCCATCCATAGATCATCTTGCAAGATTTTATTCCCTGAAGCATTGATTCAAAACTACTATACAGTGTATGTACCTAACTACTATGAATCAACTTACATTTTTAAAACAAGACTAGGTTTACCTCCATTGACATGTACCGGGTGGTCCAATAAGCCGATCTCTTGGCTATATATCAGAAACTGGTCATGTTATAACTTTAGGAGAAAAAATTCCTTAGTAAAAGTGGCCAAGAGAAATTGCTGGAAATAACTTTCAAGATTCTGGATTAACCGCTAGGGGGCGTGACCTGCGAAGAAAATTTTGAAAACCAGTTTTTTGGGAAATATATCGAATTATACCAAGTGTTTAATAAGTAAACTAGAAAGAGCATACATAAGGGTGGGGGAGAGTGGGAAAGTATTTGTGGATAAATACCTATAACTTTGGTTTGGATCAACCGATTTTAATGAAATTAGTGTCATTAGAAAGAGTGTAGATGAATTAATTCACATCTACTATAAAATACTTGCATTTAGTTTTAATAGTTGTAGGTAGAGGGGACTTTCAAATAAAAAAAATTAAAATTTGTTTTTATTTAAAATTTTTAATGGAAACACCTATTTATTTTAAATTATAATGAAACTGGATTAAATTCGTAACAAAATGGAGCAAACCGCATGTTAATAGCTTTAGTTGAACTCGAGATATGAATAAAAACTCATAAACATAAGTAAGTATAGTATTGACACACCCTGTATTATAAATTACATTAAAAAACAACTCAGTAGGTATTTTCAAATTTTTTTATAACAGAAGAATCTTAATGTTGATACCTATTTTGTAGAAAATAGTTTTTTCGAAACTAAGTAGGCTACGACAATGAATTTGACGGGGAGTTTATATTGTTTATTTATTGACAGCAGTCAAAACATTGTTAAGAAGTTCTATATTATAATTCGAAATAAAGATTGCACTTTTTTCAATAGATGTATGATATGATTGGAGTTTATTTCGAATATCACCAAAATGACGCTATTGCCTCACGTATATATTTTGTAAGATATCCTGACAGGAGACATTATGGCAAAGAAGTATTTGAAAGAAAGGCAAAAAGATTAAGAGAAACTGGAAATTATAATGGATATAACACTTCTTAACAATATTTTGACCGCTGTCAATAAATAAACAATACGAACTCACTGTCAATACTATACTTACTTATGTTTGTGCGTTTTTATTCATATCTCGAGTTCGATAAAAGTTATTAACATGCGGTTTGTGCCGTTTTGTTACGAATTTATTCCAGTTCCATTATAATTTACAATAAATAGGTATTTCCATTAAAAATTTTGAAGAAAAACAAATTTTAATTTTTTCTATTCGAAAGTATCCTCTACCTACGACAATTAAAACTAAATGCAAATATTTTAGAGTAGATGTAAATTAATTCATCCATACTCTTTTTAATGACACTAATTTTGTTAAAATCGGTTGATCCATACCAAAGTTATAGGTATTTATCCACAAATACTTTCCCACTCTCCCACACCCTTTATTTGAAAAAATAAAAAAAAGTACTTGAACAACTTTGTGCAGAATTTATGCCTCTTTCTAGTTTACTTATTTAACACTTGGTATAATTGGACATATTTCCCAAAAAACTGGTTTTCAAAATTTTCTTCGCAGGTTACGCCCCCTAGCGGTTAATCCAGAATCTTGAAAGTTATTTCCAGCGATTTCTCTTGGCCACTTTTACTAAGGAATTTTTTCTCCTAAAGTTATAACATGAACAGTTTCTGATATATAGCCGAGAGATCGGCTTATTGGACCACCCGGTACATTTATTACATATTGTTTTATTTTAAAAATATTTACTATTTATTTTATATTTATATGTATACTTGTTTAATTATTGTATTAGTTCTTATCACATATTATTGCATCCCTTACTTTCTCAAGATACGTCCCCGTTTATGATGTAACCATATAAAAAGTACTTCAGTTATATAACCGTATTTTTTAGAACGGTTTAGTTCCGTTCTGGCGTTCTACATGTGTGTTCTTTAATTTTTTTATAGAGTTGTTAAAAAGCAAGTAGTGAAGCTGAGATTTATTATAAAGATATACCTTTCAATCAAAAGACCCCAACTATTTTCCTTTCCAAAATTTAAGCGATCTGTTGCTACTACATAGAGTTGAAGATTGCCCATATCGTTATATTTTATTCCTGTAAACTCTCCCATAGAATTAATTAAATCAGATCCATGTTTTAAAGCAATTTCTGTATAGTTTTTCAGTTCAGGTTTAGTAAAGACGCTATATGTGTACTCTTGATCTGCTGTGGTCATTTGAGCAAAGTTGGAAATGAAGAAACCTAATGATTGTGTTGACATTAACGGTGTTTCGTCAAATTCGACAATTATCCTAAAAAGGTTTGCAAATTATTTTTTATTTGTAATAAATATTAAACAATATAATTGATTAAGTGATCCAATAATTCCAAAGATTATAAAATATTATTATTGATATATTAAAGATTATTGATAAACTTTGATCATAAGCTTACCCATCTGAGGTATGAACCTTTCCTGTAATAGGAGAATTTCCAATAATTTCGAACGTGTCAGGATATTCAATAAAAATATAAAATATTGATTTAAAATTCGGCTCGTCAAAACATGGGAATAGTCGTCTAGCAAAAGTTGGATATAATTGACTAAATATGGCGGTTTGTTTGATATTATCAGCTTCGTAAGTAGTGTTGTAAAGTCCTCCGTCATATCTAAAACAAAAAATATTTTGTATTAGAATTTGATCTAGTTCAGACATACAAGAAGTTCAGAAAATTGTAACGTTAACAATAAAAAATAACATAAGATGATAAGACAAACTGAACAATGAATATCCATTGTTTACAATGACGAAAAAGCGTTAACAGAATAAAAGATTGAACTTCTTCTTTGTCTTTAGGTGCTGTCTTCTATCGAAGGTTGGCGATCATCATGATTTTTTAAAATGTTCTGTTTGTTTTGAAAATATTTAAATGACTTCTTCATATGTGAGTCTGTCAACGTAAGATATTCTCAGGATTCTTCTGTAATATTCAAAAACTCGAAAACTTCTACTTTTCTCATCATCGCTTTAGTCAGAGTGGTTGTCTCTATATTGTATATTAGGATTTAAAAAATCTAATTTTTCTGACAGGTATTCTCAAGTTAAAGTTGATTACATGTAATCGAATGAGCTATCTTCCAATAAAGTCGTTCCAGAACGCAACTGAAAAATCTAAAACGCACTCTAAAAGCCATTAAAACTTCTAGTATCTAATAATAGACTAATCCAGGATCATTTTCGTTACGCTTTATCTTGGTACTGATGTTGCTGTTGCCCGACATCAGAGTAGGATATCGAAAGTGACATTTTGGTAATTAGGTAGGAGTACAGTTCTAGGATATAATTTCTGCCAGGTACCGAGAGATTAGGAGATAATTAACGCCCGATATATCTTATACCGGGAACGTAAAAGAGTATTTTCCTGCTATCCCAAGAGGGATAGCTAAGGAACAAAGACAGCAATTAGCCAACACAAATAAAAATCAAAGTCGAAAGACTAAATACGAAATCCACGGAATATTTATACAGAAAAAGAATATAAGATATATTAGAAATCTTCTTCTTCTTCTAGTTCCATGACCGTTATCGATCGTTGGATATCATGTTGGCTACCATATTCGCTATCGTGACCTTATTGACAGCAGCTCTAAATAACGATGTAGTTGATTTTCCATACCATTGCCTTAGATTATTTAGCCATGATGTTCTTCTTCTACCAGGACCACGATTACCTTGGATCTTTCCCTGAATGATCAGATGTAAAAGATCATATTTTTCAGGGTGTCTCATAATATGACCGAAGTATTCCAGTTTGCGTTTCTTTATTATATTGACCAGTTGTGTTGTTTGGTTCTAAGGACCTCCTCATTTCTAACTCTGTCGACCCAGCTTATTTTCAGTAGTCGTCTGTATACCCACATCTCAAAGGCTGTCAAGCGTTTAAGTATAGCTTCAGTTAGGGTCCACGCTTCTACTCCATACAGAAGGACAGGAAAGATGTAGCAAGATATCATACGAACTCTAAGGTCAATGCTAAGATCATGACTGCAAAGTACGTTTCTCATTTTTACAAAGGCAGCTCGGGTTTGTTCTATTCGGCTTTTAATTTCTGCGGTTGGATCCCAGCTCTCATTGATATTACTGCCGAGATACACGAGTTTCTCTACTCTGTCCAGTGTGGCATCTCCTACTTTTATACCGTCATCATGTATATAATTTTGTTTGCTAACTATCATATATTTAGTTTTCTTAACGTTGAGTTTTAATCCATACTGATCACAAGTCTGTTTTATTTTGTTCATTAGATTTTGAAGGTCTTCTCCGCAATTGGCAAGGACTAAGGTATCGTCGGCATATCTAATATTGTTGACGGTTACTCCATTCACAATAATACCTTCGGTTGTCTCCATTAAGGCTTCCTTAAATATTTCCTCCGAATATAAGTTAAAAAGTAATGGCGACAATATACAGCCTTGTCTCACTCCTCTTTTTATATTTATTTCATCCGACAGTTCTTGTTCAACCTTTATTCTTGCCACTTGATGCCAGTATAGATTTGTAATTATTCGTAGATCTTTATCGTCCAATCCAGCTGTTTCCAATATTTCTAGCATTTTGTTATGTCGGACTTTGTCAAAAGCTTTTTCAAAATCGATTGCACAAATATACACATTTTGATTTATATCTCTGCAACTCTGTACTAGCACCTGTATACTAAACAAGGCTTCTCTTGTACCCAAGCCAATCCTAAACCCAAATTGAGTATTGCTAATTCTGTCCTCTAACAGCGTATAAATTCTGCTGTGTATTACTCGCAGAAAGATTTTCAAAACGTGACTCATCAGACTTATTGTCCGATAATCACCGCATGTCTTTGGACGATGTTTCTTAGGTATTGTGACAAATGTCGACTTTAACCAATCAGTTGGTAATATTCCAGTGTCATAAATTCTGTTAAAGAGATTACACAGAGCTTTAATTCCATTTTCTCCCAAAAACTTTAGTATTTCAGCACTTACTTCATCGGGGCCAAGTGCTTTTCCATTTTTTGCCGTTTGTATTGAACGTCTTACCTCACTTTCTGTTATAGATGGACCTGATATAGCAATCGGTGTATAGTGTTCTACTCTCTCATCTTCAAATAATTCAGAAATGTAGTTTTCCATTCTTTTAACTTTTCATTGATGTCTAATATTCTGTGTCCGTTTCTGTCTTCTAAACTTTGGGATACTTGTTTTCATTTGTTTCCAGCGACCTCTTTCAATTTCTTGTGCAGATGAAATGTATCGTGTTTCTTTTCATATTGTTCAATTTCATTACATTCTTTACTATGAAATTGTGTTTTCGCGTGTCTTATCTTCTGCCTAATTATTGCGTGGATCCTCTTGTATTCGTTTTTATCTTTATTTCTGACTTCTCTTCTTTGATCCATAAGTCTCAGTGTTTCTTCTGTCATCCACCCTTGTTTTTTTCTTGCTTTTAGCGCACTTAATTTTGTTTCTTGAACAGTCTTTAAGATGTCTTTAATTCTCGTCCAGTTTTCCTCAGTACTTTCTTCTTTGCTTGATGTTAACTTCATCTTTTGTTCTAATATACTAGTTATTTCTTGTTTTACAGTATCATTTCGCATCGTTTCTCTATCAATAGTAACTGTTTGCTTATTCGTCCTTGCAACTCTTTTTAATCTCAGTCTTATTTTTCCTACTAAAATATTGTGATCTGTTGGTACATCTGCCCCTGGATATGTTTTTACTGATAATACTGAATTTTTGTATCTCTTATTTATACATATGAAGTCTATTTGGTTACGAAAAACTCGTTCAGGTGTATCTGCTGGTGATTTCCAGGTGTAAAGACGACGTTTTGGAAGTTTGAAAATTGTGTTCATTATTACTAATTGCTTTTCTACGCAAAAAGATGCCAACATATCTCCTCTTTCATTTCGTATTCCCAGACCATATTTCCCTATGACATCTTCCTGTTCACCTTCACCAATCTTTGCATTAAAATCTCCCATGATAATATTGAGATCGTGTTTCTTTGTAGGTGCTAATACTTTTTCTAAATCTTGATAGAATTTTTCAATTTCTTCTTGTTCATAGTGTTGTGTGGGTGCATATACTTGTAATATGTTCACATTGATTGTTGTTGATTGTATTTGTATCATCAGTATCCTGTCTGAGAATAGGACGACGTTTTTTACAGCTTCATCTGTTTCCTTTGACATAATTATTGCTACACCATTTTTGTGTTTTGAGCTGTCTTCTCCTGAATAGTATACAATGTGGTCATCTACAGTTACTTTTCCAGACCCCGGCCATCTCATTTCACTTATTCCAAGGATACTTATATTTAGACGCTTCATTTCTTTAATAGTGTTATGAATTTTTCCTGGTTCGTACATGCTTCTTACATTCCATGTACCTATTTTTCTTTCTTTAGAAAATGTGTTCATGTTTCTAGCTGACCGGGAGATTCTTAGCACCCCTGCTCCATTTAAGGAGCGCCCGTACTCGGGGCCGTTGTATTTATCAATTATTATTTATTATATTAGAAATAATGGGAATAAAATATTAGAAAACGATAACGTCCAGGAAAGCTAGGAAAAACTCAAAAATAACATAAATAACACAGTAACAGAATCACTTGCAGAGAGGAAAGTAACGAACATATTTAAAAAGAAAACACGATGGTTTAGAGAGAAAGTGAGGACAAAATGTAAAGAAAAGAAGAAAGTCTTTTAACAACGTAGAGCACAACAACCACAACAGGCATACAACCACTATAAACGATAAGAAGTGAAACAAATACTATATTTAGACAAATAAAAAGAGAACACTGGTAGAGCTTCGCAAAACAGATGGAGCACGACTTCTACGGAACTCGAAAAGAAATATGGAGAATGATCAGAGGACACAGAAAAGAGATGAACGAACTAATAAAAACGAAACACATTTAGAAGGAAACATGGGCAAACAACTTTCGATCCCTATTTACTATAGGTAACGATAATGAACCATTAACACCAAAGGTGACGACAAACGAAAAAATAAATATTGAGGAGGAGGAGGTAAAGGAAGCATTAAGGAAATTAAAAAATAAAAAATCACCAGGAAAGGACAGAATACCGAACGAACTCCTAAAGTTCGGAGGACCAGATTTGATCAAACAACTATTAAAACTAATCCAAAAAATAATAGAACAAAACAGAATTCCTCATGAATGGAGATCAAGCATACTAACACCTCTTTAAAAAAAAGAGATAAATTACAGAGAATTTTATTTACTACACACAATACTAAAATTAACAACCAAACTGATATTAAATAAACTGAATGCAATTATAACACTAGCAGAAGAACAATAAGGTTTATAAGATTTATAAATTCGGAAAGATTATGCACCGGTGCCATATTTATAATGATGCAAGTGCAACATAAATCATTAGAATACAACAAATCGGTATATCTTTATTTTGTGGACCTCAAGAAGGCATTTGAGCGGGTAAAATTAATGGACGTTATCCAATTATTGTAACAAGAGAGATACCTCTAGGAATAATCAAAACGATCGAAAATATCTACCAAGACAATACAATAAAAGTAAAAATAGAAGAAGAACTAACTAACCCTATTGATGTTGGCAAAAGGATAAGACAGGGTGATTCCTTGAGTCCAATATTGTTTTACCTGATTATGGTTGAAATATCAACAAAGTAAGAACTAAAAAAAATTTCCAAATGGGAGAAAAACAATTCTGCTATGCAGACGATGCAAGTGAAGCCCCCAAAAAAAAACAAAATGCATGGTTATTACAGCAAATTTACACAGATGTAAATTGGAGCTGGAAGGTCAGATAATAGAACAAGTGCCGGAGTTGAAATATATATGTATCACATTATCTAGGTACGGAAAGTTCGAAACCGAAGTGGAATATCAAGTGAATAGAGCAAATAGAGCCACAGGTTGCTTGAATCAAACAATATGGAGAAATAAAAATGTCGGGAAAGAAATGAAAAGCAGAATTTACAAAACAGTCATCAGACCAATTATGACATTCCATGCAAAAACACGACCTGACACAGAGAGGACAAAAAGGATGATGGAAAAAACAGAGATGAGACCACTTAAAAAAATTGATGATAATATATTATGGGGCAGAGCTAGAATAGTACAGGTATGCGACGTAGATGCAAGGTGGAGAACATCAAGAACTAGGATAAGAAAATCATATAAGCCGAATGACAACAATTAGGTACAGCGTAAAGACGGCAAGAGACAGTTCCTCAATAGGAAGACGATCAGTAGGAAGCCAGCATTTTGTAAACAAACAGGTTAGTTTAGTAATATAAATATAGATAATTAATATGAAAATACCAAAGAAAGTCTAGTTACTGAAAAAATAAAGTGCCACAATTAGTAAATCAATTTTTTTAATCGATTATTAATATGATAACCGTACGAAAAGTAACAACGAAGCGGTGTTCTTATAGAATATGTAATTCTTTAGGTACATGTAATTCTATTGAAAAATATTTATTTAATAAATATTTCTTTATAAATTTATAATCCTAAATGTTAAAAACATGGCGGCTGATGAAAAGTGCTATAGTAAACGGTTGTTGTATTCACGCACCAAACTAACCTCAAATTAGTGGATTTAATAAGAAGTAAGATTTTTTAATACTTATTTTTCATCAAGTTTATTATTATTTTTTTTTTCATTATGGTATTGGTTTTGTTCATATATTTAATGTATATAATTATTAAACAAATTTCAAAAAATATAACAAACATAATATATCTTTTTGGTTTTGAACATATATGCCCAAATTAGGAACGGGAATGTTATTAATGTACCCGTAATGGGCGGTGTGCCTAACTTAAATAACTTAAAATATTTAGTATAAGGTGGCATTGTGCTTGTGTTAAAATCCACTGAATATAAAATATATAGCTAAAGTCCTTAGTGTCATAGAAAAACTGTAGTACCCAGAAGATGTTATTAAATTAGCCATACAAGAAGTAAGGGAAGAAAGTTCAATAAAATCAACAGCCAAGAAGCATAACATATCGCGTCTTACACTTCAACGAAGACTAGAAGTAGATATTTTTGTGACAACACGCATGGATCCCACACTGTATTTTCCGTCGATCCGGAGCTACAGAGCTAAATAGGGTTCTAAGTTACAAAAGATCCATTGATTTTTAGCGTTGCTAAAATCGTAAGAAAACTGAAAATCACATTTGGAGATAAAAGTAGTGGCTCTGAAAGAAAGTATTACGAAGATTTTATGAAACGCCACCCTAAAGTTTTCAAACGCACCAGCCAAAATTTAACAGTTCAGAGGAAAGTAGTGACTCCAAAAGAATTAGAAAAGTGGTTTCGGGAGGTGCTACAATTGTGTAACTGACAATAATTTAAGAGGAGTATTTGAGGATCCGAAAAGAGTTTTCAACTGTTAAAAAATGACTTTTTTCTTAATCCGAAGCCTGGAAAGGTTCTGGCTTAAAAGGGCTCTAAATCTTTATATACAATATCGGGTGATAATAAAAAATTTAATTTAACTGAGCTCCTTACAAACAACGCTGCTGGAGAACTTGCTCCACCGATGGTTGTGTATAAGTATACAAGATGACTCGTTAGACGTTCTACGAATATATCGAAAAAATGTTTCATCCTTGACTGACGAATAACAATATCTAACGAGCCAATAATATTGAAATGATATAACTTTTACTAAATGCCACTCATATACTCTAACATATAGACGTAGCTGAAGAACCATTCAAAACGGTTTTACAGCATGCGGTCTAGTACCATGGACCCAACGGTAGTTAAAATACCAGAAGTGTCATAACATCAGGCCCAGCATTCAATTCAACAGTAACAGTTTATTGATATACCTTATAATACATTACTTAATACACTCGAAGAAAAAATAGAACCACAAACATGCAAGAATTTAAAAAAATGTAAGAAACTGACAAGGGGATATAAAAGATTATTCTTTGTGCTACTTGTGGCTTTCCGCAAAAACATCCAGCATTTAGAAAACTAGAGAATCTATGATTGTTCAAAATTCCGAACAACAGGAGAAACTAAATGGTCCTAGTTTATCCTTAGCTCAGAATGATCAATTACCGGATCCTTCTACGGCACCAGAAACTTATGATTATTGCTAATATGATTTCGTTAACTCCTCCATCCATTGTTACTCATTTGGATCCAAAGTAGACCCATTAGTACCTTCTTCATTCAAAAAAACTCAGTTTTGGCCTTGTGAGACTTCCAAAATAAAAAAAAAAACGAAAAAAAATAGTACAGCTGCTACATATTTTGCAAAAAGGATGAGACTAAGGGGATGAAAAGCAAAAGAAAAAATTAATACGAGAAACCAAAAAGAAAAAAAGCAGAAGAAAGGAAAGTTTAAAATAAAGGGTTGTAGTTAATTTCCCTCTAGTTCTTCTTCTGCGTAAATCATGTATCAAGAGGTGGGGATGTCTTGGTTTGCTTCAGAAAATAGTGCGGATGACAATACTGAGTTAGTCAGCCAGATTAGAATTAAGAAAGGAGACTTTGTAATTGGTCAGTTTTTAGAGAGTGAGAGGAGAGCAACTGTATACCAATACTTTTACATAATACAAAAAAAAGAACCTGAACGAGGAGAGTTGGTTGTTGAAGGCTTATGGTCTGTACACGAAACCAAAAAACTTTTTAATGTTGTGGAGAAAGACATTTCCTTAATTCATATTAAACAAATTATTAGAGTAATCTCTACTCCTGACATTATTAATAAAGATAGATTTAATTTACAGTTTTAAGAAAAAAATAAGTGTATTGAAAAAATAGCAAAATAGCCTTATGAATAAGTTTTTATTAGTATTTAACAATATTACTTATTTACATACTTTGTTTTATGAGTATGTGCTATACATATTATTTCTGTTTTAATACTTTATTTTCCTTGGTATTGTTAAAATATAATTTCCACCTTAAGTTACGTTTTTTAGGTGTCCAATATAGGGGTGCCCAACATACGGTAGTGTGAAAAATTGGGTGCCCATTATTGGAGCAATGAGAGCAACATATATAATTTATTTTCAAAAATATATAAGACAATGAATAATAAATAAAGTAAAGATAATAATATATAATAAATAAAAAAATCACGACCTCAACATTACTTACAAGTTAGTTTGCTTAATGTGTATATTATTGGTACACTTACAATACTAGATTTTTAACTTGGATCCTAAAAATTATTTAGTAAGCCTGTAATAATAATTACCTTGCAGAGAGTTTTGCTTGGTACTCAATGGTTAACGAATGTCCTTCTTTTATCTCTACTTGGGAATTGCAAGTAATGTTTAGTAAATCCAGTGAGTTTTGGACATACTTCCAGCTACACGGTTTTTTTGACTCGCCGTTTAAATAAATGTAGCTTATAGTAATATGTTCTTGGGATGAATGTAAGAGGATGTACTCAGAAGTTTCAGTGGCTGTAAAAACTATATTTACGGTTCCTGAATAGTTTTCATCATATGCACTAGGTATATGAAGCCATAGATTATAGGTAGTTGGAAAAATATGTTTTAATAAACTTGTATCCTCTGCATCGGTAATAATAATAGCTCCTCCTAAAAAATTAATGGAACAAGGAACGTGTTGAAGAAGTTAGTTTTTATGGCCATTTGTCTAAAAATTAAAAAAATATATTATTTTCATAAAAGGGGCGCTATACAATTCATGCGCTGTATATATATACATATATATATATATATATATATATATATATATATATATATATATATATATATATATATATATTTTATATATATATAAACAGGCAAAGAATAAAAAATAAAACTTCACCAGATTTATTCTACATTTTACTAGTAATTATAACAATTTGTCTAATCATCAGAAAATGTTGAAATATAGCAGAAAAAAACAATATAAAACGGAAAATTCTAAAAAAATAATGATAAGAAAAGTAAACTAAAATATGAAAAAAGTCTTAATAACGAATGTTTCCACCTCTACTACGTATAACAGCCTAACATCGTTGGTCCATACTTAAAATGAATTGCCGTATTTCATTTTGGTCTAGTTCTCTCCAAATCTGGATCAGCCTCTCTCCCACTTCCTGTAAGTTGTTTGGTTGGATCGGTGTCGCTTTTAATCGCCTACCAATAATATCCTAGAGATTTTCAATCGGATTTAAATCCGGACTATGTGCTGGCCATTCCATAGTATTAATTTCTACCTCTTCTAGATAATTTTTGACGACATGTGCAGCGTGACGTCTGGCATTATCTTGCATTAGTAAGAAATTTTCACCGATATAAGGAGCAAATAGTACTACATGTTGCTCCAGGATCTCCAATATGTACTTTTCAGCTGTAACAGTTCCGTTTTGTATGACTACTAGGTCCTTACGTGCGTTTAAAGAAATACCACCCCACACCATAACAGATCCTCAACCAAAAAATGTGGTGTGTGAGAAGTTACACTGAGCATATCGTTCGTTGGGTCATCGCAACATACGAACACGTCTGTCGTTATTGTACAAACAAAATCGGGATTCATTAGTAAATAGCACTCGTTCCCAGTCAGCCTCTAACCAATTAACGTGTTCTCTGGTAAAATGTAGTCTCTCCCTTCGATGCTCTGCAGTTAATAGAGGATCTCGAGCGGCAATCCTAGCTGTTAAGTTGTATTCCCTAAATCGCAGGCAAGTTTCAGTATTCAGTTTCAGTATTAATTTGTATAGCGTGCACGTCTTGTAAAGCTGAATTTGTAGAGTTCGATGTGTTACAAAATGTTGTCGAAGAGCAGAAAATCTTAAAAATCGATCTTGAGTAGGGGTAGTTACCCGGTTTCGTCCTTGCCCTGGTCTGCGAGTATGATCCCCTGTTTCAAGTAATCTTGCTAACACCCGTGAGATGGATGTGTGGGACAATTAAACCGACGATCATTTCTTCGGTAACTCCAACCTTCTTCCGGCAGTATCACTGCTCGAGCACATTTATCTCGGGTTAAAATAGAATTGTACATTTTTTTTGCTTCTTTTTGGTTTGTTGCAAAAAAAAACTATAGCGATAAAACACAGTCAATAAATATAGAGTGTACGAATATCATATACAAGGGGCTTGCAAAATACAACATTACAATGGAAATTTTTTTTAACGGTAATTTCTTGGAGAAGCGTATATATATATATATATATATATATATATATATATATATATATATATATATATATATATAATCAAATTAATAATAAAGATATATTCAAGAAGGAAGATATCCCCGCTATCATCATTAAAACAATGTTATTGTTAAACGTTAAACAATACCATTGATTAAGTATAAATAATACTACAAACTTAAGAGGGCGAATACAGCAACAACAAAATATAAATAGAAGGGCAAATAACAAACAAGATAGAGATATCTCCAACTCGGATAGCACAGAGCCGAAATCTGAACCACAGAATAGGTATTGCTAAAGAATTCTTTTAGCTTTAAACTGTATCTGAACTACTCTGAACTAAGTTTGGAAGTCACACCTAAAGCCGGAGTCACACCTAACGCCAAATACTCGTGTATTTGGCGAATAATCGTTACTTGCGTATACTTGCCATGTCGTGTGAGTGGGTTACTCGTACAATTATTTGTCACTCGTTGGTTTTCCATCAGTTTCGGTAAAAATGACCCGAGTTAAAGGGATCACGATTATTTGTGTACTTGCGAAGTATTATACATACTTGTCTATTCTTGCAGAGGCGCTCATACGAAATTTATAAATACAAATACCACTGTAATAAACGCTGTCACCACTGTAACATCCTCGTATTATACGCTAATGGATGCTTATCTCTGAGAGCGGTGGCAAGGGTTACTGGTTCAACTAGTCAGGACGGACGTGATTTCGCCCTCACGGATTTACTAGAGGGTAGGGAAAATTTGGATAATGGGATGAAGGACGTCCAGATTGCAGGCCCTATAATGAGTTAGAGTCTATTGGCTTGTCTTAGAAGCCGGAGAAATGCACAAGCTAGAAATGTGTTCTTTTCTAGTCTCTACCTGTAAACGGCCGGGAAAGAACAAAAAAACCAAATTTCAAACTTACAATATATTAAATAAATTGTAAACCACAACTAAGACAACAAAATATACGTTATAGCTAATTATTGTTTTATTAAGTTGCGAAAGGAGACGAGAAGAGACTTTAGCAAGAAATATAAAGGGTGGAAAATCTACGATTATTTTGTATTCCCTCTGGGTTAGTATTTATGCTTAGTTATCTTAGCATATTTAGACCCTAGCTAACGAATACGCCTTTACAGTCCAACTGGCACTCAGGAACAGTCTGCTGAGAGTACTGTACGCTATCGCGATTTACCGAGAGAAGAAAAATCCTGTACTTATACTGAACTACCGTTCCCGTCGGATATAATACTGCGCTAACTGAGTTGAACACACCCGGACGGCGGACCAACTAACCTCCCCTAGATCGCCGAGCACTCACTCCCTGCTGGTCACTCACTGGCTCTGGTTGCCGATCACTACTAGCCCGGTTGACCAATTTACTTCGTTTTTATGTTCCGCGAATGTGTACCCTCAATTACAGGTCACAGTACCGAGGCGTCGTGCCTTACCGCTTTTCTCCTAGAGAAAAGCGGTAAGTTTCTGTTCCTAGTTTCTGCTAATTGCGCCGTCTGCTCCACGTGTTAAAATGGATCTTGCGAAGGTGTGATCTGCTAGCTAAGCTCAATTGTTATCGCTGGTATGTCGCTTCGTTGTATTATTTTCCAATGAAGGTCTATGGTTTCGTAATTTTTAAACATTCGGAGCTGACCTGATATCGAAAACTTGTGTAATACACGTTAAACTATGTCGAATTTTCATTTTTTATTTAATTTGGAATATACAAGTTAAACTATGTCGAATTTTTATTATATATTAAATTTGGAGTATATAATAATTATTATTATTCTTTTCTAGGCTAACTACTTCTTATTTTGTTTCTTTTATTTTCTTGCTATGTTGACTTGTTACATACCGGGCTAACTCATTAACGATTGCGCTTGTGGGTGGGGTTGTTTCACTTGGGTATGGGGCTGATATATTACAATTGGCAGTTACTGCGACTATTCGTTTAGTTTTTAAAGACCTCAGGAGCGTACAGAGGTTTTATTTTTGT